CTTCAACTGTGAGGTCAGATACACCACATGGCTGGCGAATGTGGTCCTAGTGAAGAAGAGCTCGGGGAAGTGGCGCATGTGCGTCGACTACACCGACTTGAACAAAGCATGCCCCAAGGACTCATACCCTTTGCCGAGCATTGACAGGCTGGTCGACGGAGCATCAAGGCACGCCCTGCTCAGTTTCCTCGACGCCTACTCCAGGTACAACCAGATAATGATGTACCCACCCGACGAGGTGCATACGTCCTTCATCAGTGACCATGCCAACTATTGCTACTGGGTGATGCCCTTCAGTCTCAAAAATGCAGGGGCAACCTACCAGCGACTGATGGATAAGGTTTTCCACCAGCAGATCGGGCGGAACACGGAGGTCTACGTCGACGACAGGTAGTCAAGACCACCTCGGCAACAGACCATGCAACCGACCTTGCCGAGGTGTTCGCCCAGATCAGGAGGCACAACATGCGCCTCAACCCGAAGAAGTGTGTCTTCGGCGTCCAGGGAGGTAAGTTCCTCGGTTTCATGATCACTAGCCGAGGAATCGAGGCCAACCCTGAGAAATGTAAAGCCATCATCCAGATGTAGAGTCCACAAACAGTGAAAGAGGTCCACCGCCTAGCCAGACGGTTAGTCTCACTGTCCCATTTCATCCCCAGACTCGCGGAGAAGGCAGGGCCGATCTTCACTCTACTACGGAAGCCAAAAGACTTTCAGTGGACGGATCAGTGCGAAGAAGCTTTCCAAAGCTTCAAAACCTTCCTCACGACTCCGCCAATCCTATAGAGGCCGGATCACAAAACTGACCTCCTCCTCTACTTGGCCGTAGCAGAAAGCGCCATCAGTGCAGTTATAGTACAAGAGCACCAAAAAGTGCAAACACCAATCTACTTCATCAGCTGAGTCCTCCAAGACGCGGAGAAGCGGTACCAAATGATCAAGAAGCTGGCACTGGCACTTGTCACCGCAACTCGGCGCCTCCGACCCTACTTCCAGAGTCACCAAGTGGTAGTCAAAACCGACTACCCCATCAAGCAAATTCTGCGAAAGCCCGAGCTCGCCGGACGGATGATTGCGTGGTCAGTAGAATTGTCTAAGTTCGGCATCCAGTACGAAAGTCATCAGTGGACGGATCAGTGCGAAGAAGCTTTCCAAAGCTTCAAAACCTTCCTCACGACTCCGCCAATCCTATAGAGGCCGGATCACAAAACTGACCTCCTCCTCTACTTGGCCGTAGCAGAAAGCGCCATCAGTGCAGTTATAGTACAAGAGCACCAAAAAGTGCAAACACCAATCTACTTCATCAGCTGAGTCCTCCAAGACGCGGAGAAGCGGTACCAAATGATCAAGAAGCTGGCACTGGCACTTGTCACCGCAACTCGGCGCCTCCGACCCTACTTCCAGAGTCACCAAGTGGTAGTCAAAACCGACTACCCCATCAAGCAAATTCTGCGAAAGCCCGAGCTCGCCGGACGGATGATTGCGTGGTCAGTAGAATTGTCTAAGTTCGGCATCCAGTACGAAAGTCACGGACCCCTGAAAGCTCAATGCCTGGCCGACTTCGTAGCCTACGCCGAGTACTTACTTGAGCGTTGGAGTGTCTTTGCAGGCACCCCCCTCTCGCTTCGGATCGCCCGGATTGAACGAGAAGACCGAGACCCAAGACCAGACCTACTGCAACAAGGATAATTGGAGTGTGTATCCTAACACAGAAACACTTTCAGTAAGTTGGTTCAGTTATTTCGTATGCCTTTATTGTTGATCGATCCCAAATGAAAATTTCAAATCATGAATATATAAGAAATATGGAAATTTCAAATGTTCAAAGAGTAAAAAAAAAATCAGATATATTGGTAAAAGTGAAAAAAAAATATAAATGAAAATAAACATAAAAATTAAAAATATAATTTAACTTAAATATTATTATTAATTGCAACCTCAAATACTTAAAGTCAAATCATGATCAATAATATAATTTTTATGATGATCATATACATATTGAAAAGTTGGACCAAAATTACATATTTTTCAAATTAGATAGACTAAAATGGTAGAATTAAAGATTTGGAAAACAAAATTACATATTAATATTATTGATAAAGAAAAAGTGTAATTTAAATTAAAATAATAATCTTCATATTTTTACTAAAAAAATATTATTTCTTATTTTAACAATATTTATGTATACAAATATAGCAATAATTATGTCTATAATTCATTTTCTACTATCTTCATGTAACCGATAAACTTTTTGTTTTTTAATTTCCTTTCTATTTACAATTAAACTAAACAACACAAAAAAAAAAAAAAAATTCACCCCATTTCCTTTTCTCTTGTTTTCATTTTACATTTAAAAAAAAAAACAGTGTTAAAGCCTACTTTTTTCATCACCAAGCAATCATATGCATGGATTAATACAAAATTATTTAACCTATGTTTTACATCCTCATAATAATTCTACTCTAAGCAACTCAAACATATAGCATTATTTTGTGGTACCACTACAGCTGTTATACACAGAATAAGTGGTGTTCTACGCTTTGACCAACACGGCAACACTTTCGTGTACCAATCATAGATTGTTCTGCGAGATCTTTTGTTCTTGGCAGTTTGTTTCTCTTGAAAATCCAAAACCTGATGGCTTCCTGGGTTCAGCAACTCACTTCTATTGACTGGAACCATGAGTCCTACCCTGCCTTTCGTGATTTCTCCGTTATACCCTTCTTTGCTCTGTTCTTTCCCTTCTTCCGCTTCCTTCTCGACAGGTTCATTTTCGAGGTACTGCTACTTTTCTCTCTTTCTGCACCACCCATTAAGTTGAACCTTCTTCTATAGTCTATGCTAATTGCTGCCCTTAGGACTTGATTGGATAAACTTGTAGAGAAGTACTTTTAAGTAAAAAGAGAAATAAAAATAAGTTTCTTATGTTAAAACTAACTTATGATATAGGTAAGCTTGTTGATTTAGTTGTTGTAAAGTTTGTCTTGAGACAACAGAATGACTTGGTACTCTCATGATCATTAAGATAAGTGTTAAAATAATATTTGACCAAGTCAGAATACAAGCCCCGCCTTGTAAGTACATGTTAATCTTTGAATGTGAGATTTCTACAAATTAGCTTAGGGAAGATTTTAAACTTCCCCTCATCACTTTTAAACTCATCTATGCTTGACAGCTTTTCAATGTTTATTTAGCTGCTTGTGTTGACTTTTAGTATATTTGGTCAACTCAGCTGCATTAACTCTTTTTTGCCACCTTCATCTTTTGATTTTAATTTTGATACAATTTTAATGTAAAATTACACTTTCAAACAAATTAAAAATCTCGATGTATATGAGTATGGCTTTTAAGACAATTATTAGAAGAAATCAACAATTTTTAATTAGAGGTCGATCTATAATTGGATAAAAGTTCTAATTGCTTATATATATTATAATTAAATTCATTGTTAAGCCTCGAAGTCCAAGATAATATTAAGTGGGCGTTGGTGGATGCTAGAATGTTTGACAGATAGGATCATTCCCTTGAAATTTGTCATTGAAATTAGCGAGTAGGCACCCCTAATAAAACGTAAGATTTTGAGAAGAGTAAAAAGTGTTTGATTAAGAAATCCCATAAAAAGATTTCTTTGTTTTTGGGAATACTTCTTTAGAATGGATTTAAATGGTCATTTAGGAAGAGATACAAGGAAGTACACCGGGTTTGTGGTGGATGCTGGTTAGGGGAATCAAATGATAAGGGCAAATTTATGTGTCACTTTATAGTATTTTTTATTTTATTTTTAATTATCTGTTACCTTAAAATTTCAAGTATTGATTAGCTGTCATTTGTTAGTCCTTAGTAGCCTAGTAGGTGCTGAATGTATAGGCTAAAAAAGGAAAGGCAATAGAAATTTATATCTAGAAAAGTTGGTTAATCTTATATTCGTATAATGATGCTTAAAGTCTACCTTATGCATTAATTCAAAGACCTTATGAATCAATTCAAATGTAGACTTAAGAATTAAAAGATTGTTTAAATACAAGTTAGAGGCGCTTTTGAGAGCTTTTCTATTCAAAATAAAGAGTTATTTTTTGTAGAGAAACTTTCGAAAACACTTTTAAGTTTGTATTCAAACATACTCTAAGTCTACCTTTGTCGGGCTATTGTCTTTTCCTACTTTATACATACATACATATATATATATATATATTTATCATATTTAGTCAATCTGAAGTGAATGGCATTTACAGAAAGTGGCCAGACGATTGATTTTTGGAAAGGAACACAAGTCACTGGATTTTCAGACATATGAGAGAAAAAAGAAGATTAGGAAATTTAAGGAATCAGCATGGAAATGCGTTTATTTTCTATCAGCAGAAATTTTTGCTTTGGCTGTAACATATGACGAGCCATGGTTTACTAATACAAGATATTTTTGGGAGGGGCCAGGGAGTCAGATATGGCCAGAGCTAAAGATTAAGTAAGATTATTCATTTACATGCACAACTATTGTGGTTTTTCCTTTACAATCTTTAATTTATTCTTGTTAATTGCTACTATTTGTCCTGATGTGATTTCCATGTTCAACTTAAGTTAGTTGATTGAACAATAACATTTTAGCCTTTCAGATTGAAATTGAAGGGGCTCTATATGTATGCTGCTGGATTTTATTCATACTCCATACTTGCTTTAATATTTTGGGAGACGAGGCGCTCTGACTTTGTGGTTTCCATGGGCCATCATGTTTCTTCTGTCATTCTCATTGTGTTATCCTACATTCTTAGGTATGTTTTTCTTGTAATGCATGCATTTGGTGAAGTGTTATGATTTTCAGGCAATACTGTTCTGTGATTGTTTAATTTGTTGGAATGTGATCCATTTCAAATGACAGAAGATACACCTAACTGATTTAGTGGATTAGTGGCTTATTGTAATTTTCTGTTATTGGTTGTTAACTTGTGACAACTGTTAGTTGTTGGTTACATTTCTGTTTTTCAGTTTTGATGTAGACCGTCTTGTGTATAATTGACTCTCTCAGTTGAATAAAATTTGGGTTACATTTTATCAATATTCTAATACGTATCAGGCAAAGCATGATCTTCTTGGGATGCTGCTTCTGATACATTATGGAGAGCTTGGATTTATATCCTGGAGGAAAACAATGTTTGAACAAACAAGTATCAATGGTGTGGTTGTTTCTACCACAATGTGTGCACCTTGGAAGAGTTCTGTTTACCAGTAGAAATTTTATTGGACTGGGTAGCTAGGACAATGGGTTCTGGAAAAATGGCTACATTGAGCTGTTTTTCTTGTTGTATTATCATGGAAAACGCCTTATTTATTGAAGGAAGGGGTTGCATGAGTACTATTTGTGACTTTACAGCAGCAAAATTCTCATTTAAACCTTGCAAGAAACAGAGGACATGATCATTATCTCGATACCTTTGAAGGGTTTTGAAAGGGTTGCAACAATTAGTGGGAGGAACGGGACAATAGTTGTTGAGTTCATACCACAGGTTCTTCATTTTTGGTGAAAACAGTTGTTATGGTGAGATCTTCTTGCTCAAGAGAAAAAGGATCAATTGTAACTGGGCAATCCAGACAGAACCCTCCTGATCAATTGGATATTGCCGGACTTTAGAAGTAACACCAATCCAAATTGTTTGTAGCAATGTCAAGATACATAGCGTGATTTGACTCAACTAGAAAGAACAAGAGGATTCAACTCAACTAGAAAGAACAAGAGCATAGCATCTCTTCCAAGCAGCGAATAAAGGATCCATGGGAGAAACTTGAGGCAGATAACCATCAACAAAGTCTACTTGTTTTTCATTTGGAGGGCCATTTGCATAGCTCTAGCAGTCTAGCCCATAAATGATAATTTCAACATTCAACAATGGGGGAAATAAGAGCAAGGAACGGGTTTTCATTGGGATGAATGTCATAGATGTTTGATGGATCTTTCTGAGAAGAGGGGATATTGGAAGTCCTTGAAGTATCTAGAAAGGTTATAGGAAGAAGGAGAAGAAGAAAAGGTGCAATAGTTTTAACCTGATACCATATTAGAATATTGATGTAACCTGAACTTTATTCAACTGAGTATATACAAGATGATCTACAGCTAAAACTGTAAAACAGAAATGTAACTAACAAGTTAACAACTAGCAGCTGTCATGACAACCAATAACAGGAAGTTACATTAAGCAACTAATTCACTAAATCAGTCAGGTGAATCTTCTGTCATCAAACTGCTTATCAAAAGGGTGAAATGTGTAGGTTTTTGTGTGTTTATACCAAAGTTATTTTTATAAAGAAATTGTAAACTAGATGCATGCATTAATTCTATTGAATTTTAATTTACTTCACCAGTTCAATTTATAAGGTTTTCACACAGTTTAGTGTTTTCCTTCTATGTTTAATACACTCAGGTTTGTTCGTGTTGGATCAGTTGTTTTAGCTCTTCATGATGCTAGTGATGTGTTTATGGAGACAGGGAAAATGTCCAAATACAGTGGTGCTGAAACAATAGCTAGCATTGCATTTGTTCTTTTCGTTCTGTGTTTTACCATACTGCGGATCATTTACTACCCGTTCTGGATTCTTAGGAGTACAAGGTTTGTATTTATTTTGTTCATTTACATCCTTTTTTCCTTCTGTTGTCTGTAAGAGTTCCTCACGTGTTTATTCTGTAGCTGCTAATCTAGTTGATTTATCCAATATTTCTACTCGTGTCTGTTGCTCTTCAGCTTCAAAAGTTGTCATCGTGGGGAAGAATAACACCTTGTGTCTCCTACATTCTTTACAGAAAGGAGTACTAGTACAACATATACAATGCTATAAAATCAGTTCATCTTAATTCCTAAGTTTATTTTTTTCTTACTTTTTTTTTTCTCAATAATTATAATTTTATATGTATTCTTGTGCCCTTTTACCAACTATGTGCTTGGAAAATATTTTTAGTGGTTTATATTATGTACTATTTTAGAAGAACTCACATGCCATTGCCATGATTAAAATCTCTAGACTCTAGAGGCTTTGTCAATTTTTGGTACCCTGTCCTGGCTTTTCACATTTCAGAATATAACAGCTTTTGTGTTGCAACTTCCGCATCTTATCATCTGATGACATATTCATTGGCCATAGAGATTCTCATTTTCTTTTGGACCATTACAGAATCTGGAAAAATATGATATATCTAGTAATGCTGCGAAAGTTGTAGAAAAAACTCACCTTTCTTACCTAGTTAGGCTTTCCTCAGGATTTGCTCTGTCACGTCAAACATTTCTGCACGCATATGTAATGGCTTGTTTCTCGGTCTGATATTTGAATGGCCTGCTATATATAAATATAATGCATGTTCTCAGCAATCCTTCTTATTCTGCAAAAATATGTTATTTATGATCTATCTCGTGCTTTTGTTGATTCACGCTGATCTTCATCGAAGTAAAGGCTAAATTTAGCGATGACATTAGTTTTCCTAGTTTTAACTAGGATGAAATAGACAAATTTTACTTGGATTAAGGAATTTAAGCAGTCTTGTCAGAGCAGAATTATAAAATAGTTTGTTCTAAAAATTATACTATTGTTTTTAATCTTCCGATTAGCCTTTCAAGAAAAAGAAATCTTGTTTCGGACTGCAGAAATTTCAATGATTCAATCTTGAATAGTAATGCAGAGCTTCATGGTTCACAATCATCATTCTGTTGCTCCATTAATTGTTTCATTCTCTTCTTTTGGCAGCTGTGAAGTTGTTATCGCCTTGAAAAAGGACTTGGTGGATGGTCCAATATATTATTATGTGTTCAACACTCTTCTATACTTCTTGCTCGTTCTTCATATATATTGGTGGGTGCTGATGCTTCGGATGCTCGTTAAACAAATCCAAGAAAAAGGAAAAGTTAGTGAAGATATCCGGTCTGGTAAGCTGAAAGATGCATCCCATATATGCCTTTCTAAGATAAAACTTCTATGAATTAAGTCAGAAAATGTTGCATTTAATTGAATCAATCTTCATGTTGATGACTTCCAACCATGTAGCCACAAGTTTTGTTATGTTACATTACATATGGCTTTAGTCTGTTGAAATTTTAACTTGCCATCTTATCTGATTGTAACCTGCTTCACTTCACATATGCAGATTCAGAAGATGAAGATGAACATAAACATCAAGAATGAACAGAAAAACAGGATTGAATATGATCTCATTTTGTTCAAAATGCATCATGGGTTGTCTTAAATGACCATGGACATCTCAAATATTGTCACACTGTGTGGCGTTGAGATAAGAATGTAAAAATCATCATAAGTAATCAAGTATAGTAGAAACTAGAAGCTTCTTGTCAAATTAATTTTGCTACTAGTTCAAACTGACAATTAAAGCTTAGAAGGAACTATAAGAATGATGCAGAAATGCTCCCTGTAGATCAAAGTTTGACCCCCTCACTCTCAATATAATTATATGTAATTTACTGTGCTATAGCATTGCGCTATATTGTAGGTACACTGAAATGTGAGATGAATGATATAATTTGTTTTTCCTATTGGTTATTGTTGATATAAAATGAGATGGAATTTATTGATACAGAATTCTCATTACACCATTCCTACCTCTTTCCAATCTCCCACCTCTAATACAATTAGGGCAATTCAAAAGCTAGTTCCAACTTGGAGTTAATTAAGCTTTCTAAATTCTAAAGCTTCTTTGATTCTCTTCAATTCTGGATTGATTACTACGTTGCCATTTTCCTTAACCAATTTGGTCATCTAATCCTTGCTAGCTTGACCCGGTTCTTATAACACCAAGTTTTTATAAATAAATTAATAAAAGAATTAATTAATTAATTGAAAGGTTTTATAAACATGAGTGCTTTTAATTAAATGGAAAAGAAAAGGTTGTGAAAATTATTTTATTTATATATTGGAAAAAAGTATGGTTTTAAATTATGTTGTTTTAATTATTTTATTTATATATTTTGTATGTATTATTTAATTATATGTTTTAAATTTAACTTATTTACGCTTTCTTATCTTTCATATGATTTTTCTTTATGCTATGAAGAATCTAGAGAACTCAAGACTTTTGGAGAGCATCCTAGTGTAAGGAGAGAGTGAGTAATCTAGGTGTGAGGTGTGAGATGCAAGTTGGATAATGAGATTAATCTCAATCTTGTTTCTGTCGTTTTATGACGTATGAGGGAGAAATCCCAATTTTAATTGTAACTTGTGAATTTGTGTTCTATGTCATTCTTATGTACTCTAATTATAATAATTAATAGGTGGTCATGTGTAATTCTATATAATTGTTTAGAATAATGAATTTGTGGATGTTTCTATAGGAACTCATAGAGTAAATTGAATTAGTAAGGAAGAATATATGTGAGTATGTAATTAACATAAAAAGTCTTCACTTTTTATATAAGTTATAAAAATAACCAATTTTTTTATATTGCGCTTTTTTCCTTTTTGATATGTTTTTTTTTTTGTATTCCACGATTGCACCACTGTTTTCTTCTCGTTGTCACATCTCTTCAAGTTATATTATTGCATTTTTTTCTCTCTTGTTGCATTGTTTTTATATTTTTTTGTCATACTTTTTTCTCTAGTTATGTTTCTCTTTCTCTTTTTATATGAATTATATTAAATTAAAATTAAAAAATTAAATTAAATAGTTTATATTTATAATAAATGATTTAAATTTTGATATAAAATCATTTTTAACTATTAACTATTTAATGGTGTAAAAAAATCAGAAAATACTAAAATTTAATTGAAGTATAAAGGTAAAAAAAAAAATTTGTAAAAGACGGCTAAATTAAAAAATATATAAAAAATTAAAATGGTTACGAAATAACTTTTTTGTTGTCCCCAAAGTAATATGAAAAATGCACATTCAAAAATAAAATATTTAGAGAGACGAAAATAGATAAACATTTTTTTCATATAATTTTATTACATTTTGTAAGAAGAGTAAATGTAAATCTGAGTATTTGCTTGATGAGCACGAGAGCGGTATTATTTGGAGGGAAGTGACACGTGTACCGAAGCCTGCACTTGAGTACAATTGCAAACCCTGAGAAGAAGCAAATCAAAGAAGCGAAGAGTGTGAGAAGAGAAAGGGACAGAAGAAGAAGAAAATGGAAGACGTGATGACAGAAGCAGCACCACCTTCAAGGTTCTTGGAAGAAGACCTAAACATCTTCACAACCCCTTCTCCACCTCTCCCCAAACCCTTCCTCATCTCCCAACCCCACACCCCTTCCCTCCTCATCGTCGCCCTCCCCGCCCCCTCCCTCGCCCTCTTCCGCCGCCTCCGGAGCTCCACCCCCGCCGCCTCCCTCCTCCTCCCGGAGCTCCCCCTCTCCCGCCCCAACCACACCGCCGATCTCTTCGCCCTCTCCCCCTCCGCCCTCCTCGCCGCCGTCCCCTTCCCCGTCCCCGCCCACCGCGCCCACGCCCTCGCCCGCGCCCTCCTCTCCGCCCGCATGGCGCCTCGCTCCGTCCTCCTCCTCGACTCCCTCCAACCTCCCAACTTCCGCGGGAGCCTCTCGTCCGACGAAACGCTGGCGTTTAAGCTCGAGACCTCCGCCGAAAGGAAGAGCGCCGACGCCGAGAAGATGCTCCCCGGGGTTCCGTATTACCCTTCCGGCAGCGTCGTCGATGGGCTCGGCGCCGCCATTCTCGCGCGCTGCCAGGTGCTCAACGTGAGGGCCAGTTTGTGCGTTTCGTGGCCTCGCTTCGACGCGTCGGTGGTGTCGTTGGTTAAGGGTTTGCTCCAGCGCGGTGTGTTGCGTGGCTTTGAGTTTGATTTGGGGGATGAGGATTTGAAATTCGGGAGGAGTGAGGATAGGGTTTTGCATTCTGAGTTGTATATTTGATTTTCGGATTGTGTGAATGTTTTGATCCCTGGGGACTAGTTCAGTGTTTTAGGTTACTTTGTTTTGTTATGGTTGTTGGTAAGTTGATAAATTAATCTCTGGTTATAGATTTTACATTGAAATGTGTGTTTTGACTGGAGGAATTGATTCTTGTGATTTGGCGAAGGGATAGATGGTTTCTGGTTGTGGTTGGTTTTATTTTTTATGGCTTTATTGATTTATTTAAACTTGGCCATGAATTGCACATTTGTAACACGGACAAAACTTAGATGCAGTGCTTTTTATGACTTTGATGTTGTTATATAATGTTGTTATCTAATTACAATTTAAGTTTTAGCTTAACCAAATTTTGAGTTTGAGTCTTGATTATGTAGTTGAATTAAATACTCAAAGGGAGAATTTTGTCACTTATGATAGTCTTATCTGGTTTGAACAAGATTGCATCTAGCCAAGAATATCTATAGTATTTACCAAAAAAAAAAAATTGAAGTTTTATCTCGGATAACACTCTAAAGGCACCTAAAGAACTGAATCTAAACTTTATCCTTTGTGATATCTTTTGATTGGCTGACTATGGATTTGTTTGTGTATTTTGCAAATGATTGTGGATGTCTGATTTGCATTAGCTGCTGGTGTTCTTGCTAAGCTGCAAGTGATGCCCTGCAATATGTGATCTATGGGTATGGTGGATTCTTGCTGTCAATGGAATAATCTGTAGATGATTGATGATTTATCTCTTGCTCATGGGCCAAGTGCTATTTTTGTCTTCTATAAGCAATTGCTTGAATATGAAAGAACTATTGATTTTGACCCTCTTTTGCAGTGGATGTTTGCAGTGTTGTGTTGTGGTATTAAAACTAATGGTTTTCATCTTGGACCATATGCAATATTTTCAATCGTCAACTGCGTTGCACCATAACATATTGGATGCAGGGGTTAGCAAAATTGGATGAAACTGTGATTGCAGACTCGAATTTTTCTCTAATAGTCACAATAAAATTGTGACTGTGGTCTGTGTAAATTGTGTCTCAAATTCAGTTTTCGAGTTAGTTGCGAAGCTGTTAGTCACTGGCCATAACAAACTTAGATAGCTGAAAGATGTGGGATAGGTGTACAAGGTAGTGATGAATGTATAGGTCTATATGTAACCAAGTGATATATATGAGTGTGTGTGTGTATGTATGAAATCTTCTGCAACATTGAAACTTTGCACCTGTGAAGAATCAGAGAAGTGAACAGAGTTGTTAAGAGTCTGAGCAACAAAGAAAAAGCTTGAAATTCTTAGAATTATTATCTAGAGTGAAAGTGAGGATCCAAGAGAGACAAGGAGAAAGGCTCTGTTGTGAAGAAACCCGATCTTGATTACAATATTATATTGAAATTGATCTCTCACACATGGATGTAGGCCATATTGGCTTTAACATGTTTATTTGGTGTTAATCCCCCTGATCCTAATCTTATATTGTTTTCTGGTTAAGTGTTTTTTGGTGCATGTGTTATTGTGTGTTGCCTGGTTTGCAAGAAGCATCGTAACCCAATTTTCGTAACAGTCTGCAATGTACTTGTAACCCAATTTTCTTAACAGTCTGCAATGTACTTGTGAATGAAATTTGACAGCAAAACCTTGACTATGTGCAGGAGGCATAATCAATGTAATTTCATTTAATTGTGCTTCTAAAGATGCTTTTCAAGCTGTAGATCAGTAGATGTTAGTAGTTAAGGAAACATGGTTTTTGAATTACGATGGCTATGGAGGACAATAGGTGTCTGCCTGAGTGGAAAATTTCTTGCTGGTTCTTGATTCTAATGATGTTAATCTATACCTCTGTACCAAAATATATAAAGAGGATTTTTTTTTTCAATAACTGCATTGGTCTTCATTTTATATGCAGACCATCTGTTCCTCTTTTATTATAATCGTAAAATTAATTTATGTTATATCTTTTAATGTCTTTTTCTTTTCAATTTTTTATCTTCTTTAAATAATTGTTCACGTAGCTACTCATTACATAATTTTTTATTTATTTTAATTTATTATAAAAAAAATAGAGATATAGAGTGCCTTTTTTTTTTTTTTCTAGTCATGGATAAAGAACCAATCTAGTGTTAGGTACGGACAGTTAAAAACCTTGTAACATTTGTATTACAGATTCCGCTCACCCTGAATACCTGTCATTTGATGTTTAAACTTGTCTAAATTTCTCTAGAATCAAGTTATTCACATATGTGGTCTTTAACCCAAAATCATGTTATTCAGTTGCATTTAATGATTGCGGTCTTTAACCCAAACTAAAGTACAAAAGTGTATTCTTAAAAAGGGAAGATAAAAAAAAAATGATGACCAGATTGTGTGAGATAGGTTATTTGAGATATGGAACAGGAAAAGAAGATGCTGGATCTGCAGTATGCACTTTTCAATAGGAATTGCAACATGTAGAACTGAGTTTTTGTCACGCTAGTATTTTATAGATACAAGCCATAATCGTTGTTGCATTTTAGTTTGATCTCATAATTTATCTCCAATTTGTTTTACTTACGATTAATGATAAAACAAAACTATTGAATTAAAGTTGGGTGAGTATTCCCTAAGAAACTATTATCTGAGGGCTGTCTGATAGTTCTTGTTTAAGTAAAGGTTTTAGTGTTTTATACATTATCTTTCAAGATAAGCTGAATCGTCATGTTGGAGACCAGAGTCAGTATTGAAAGTATATATCTAGAATTTCCTACTAAGGTTGTAATATGCATTCAGGAATAAAGTAAATTGAATTTCAGTAATTGTTGAAGGAAAAAAAATAATAAAATTCAACACGGGTACTACGACGCGAGTCTCATCCTTGCTTAATTCTATATTTCCTGTAATTGTTTTGTTGGGTTTTTGAATTTACCATCTTGCACTATCTCCTACACTACTCTATCTAGAGAGATGGGATTGGGAATTGGGGATCACGAAAGCAGGGAAAAAAGAAAATTTATTATAATTGGAGAAAGTCAATATGGATGAGAAATTTGAAGATTTTTGCTATCTATTCTTACAAAATTAAAGATATATACTTTCAATCGTGCACTTCACGATCATGACTGAACTCGCAATATATTTTCCTTCTTTTTGTAAAACCAGCAAGTATTTGATAAAGTCCACATGCAATCTAATTCTTGGAGGAAAAAACGAGAAGGCTAAACGTGCAAATTGACATTATACAAAAACAATTGACGTGTGGAATATATATTAAACTCAACTGTTACAAAGATGGCTTCTGTGGCAAGCAAATAAATTTGGTCACTCAAAATTAAGGTGATGTAATGCAAAATGGTTATTCTAATCAATTCGAAGTTGGACAGTTAAAACCGGTCAAAGAAAAGAGAAAGATGACAACAAAACATGCAAATAAATTTATGGAACATTTCATAACCTATTAGATGCTCAATGGAAAAGACAATTCGAGTTGATTTCATGCAAAGAAAAAAACTGTAAATATTAAGTAAGATTAGCTGTTATTAGTTTTTGTTTGGTGGCTGGCCTTACGAGTTGAGAAAAATTGTTAATGGCGGGCGCAAAACATTTAATACTTTATACTTTTACTCTCTATGGGAATGTTACTTTTAGTTTAAGAACACCCACCAACTTAGTCATATTAGTTGCATCTTCTCTTGACTCTAAGAAACATGCTTTCTAAATACTCAAATAGAAAAATAGCCAATGCATGGAAAGGGTGAAACACTCTACTTGGTACAACTTATATAATCTCTTGATTCTCACCCATCTCTCCCACCCTTCATTTTTTCGAAGTTAAAGCAGTAACAATGGTTCCTTCTTTTCCTTCAAAATCCTTGATGCATGTTGTTCTCATCATTTGCTTTCTTGGTGCCACCAGATTGCATGCAAGTGACCCTCCTCTAACACTGGATTACTATGCATCAACTTGCCCCACTGTGTTTGATGTTGTTAGGAAGGAAATGGAATGTTCAGTGCTTTCTGATCCCCGAAATGCAGCCATGATAGTTAGGCTACACTTCCATGACTGCTTTGTTCAGGTTTGTAACTTTACAATCTAAGTATTGTCAGTGTTTTCATGTTACTATAGAATAAATTACATTATGTATTATTATGTTTGGATATAAGTTTAGAAGAACTTTCAAAAAACTTTTTTATTTCCTATAGAAAAATTGTCAAAACTCTTTACCTAACTTTCTCAATAACCTATATACTTAGGGGCTACCAAGTTCATCATACCATGTACCACATATCAAGTTCTCTTTAAAGAATCTTGTGATAATAATGTTAAAAGTAAAGAACCTCGTACCAACACAAACCATATGTTGTACCGGTTCAAGGTACCTGGTAATGTTTGGTACAAGTAGTAGTTCTATAGTTTCATTGTATTTCAGTATTGAGAAAACCAATGTTGTATAGTATAAAGTTAAAGTCAATATGCATCTAATGAGAAAAGGTAAATACACACCAACAAAATGTGACATTCATATGGGCTCAGGGATGCGATGGATCGGTTTTGCTTGATGATACAATCACACTTAAAGGAGAGAAGAAGGCAGCTACCAACACCCAATCTTTAAAAGGACTGGAAATTGTTGATAAAATCAAGAACATGATTGAATCAGAGTGCCCTGGTGTTGTTTCTTGCGCTGATATTCTCACTATTGCTGCCAGAGATGCTGTGATTCTGGTAAAAGAAGCTGATTCCTTCTAGATTTTATCATATAGCTTCACAATGCTTTACATGAATTTTAATCTTTAAATTTTCTGCATAGAAGTTAGTGGAATTTTGCACATGATTCTGTCATTGATTTTTTGTAGGTAGGTGGACCTTACTGGGATGTTCCTGTGGGAAGGAAGGACTCTGTCACTGCAAATTTTGATCTTGCTAACACCAATCTTCCCACTCCGGATGAGAGTCTTCTCTCTATCATAGCCAAGTTTCTTTACCAAGGACTATCTGTCACGGATATGGTAGCACTTGCAGGTATCTTAATTTTCCTACTATTGGGATAAAATTCAGAATGTTAAGAGGTTTTTATCACCTGCATATTTGATGAAATTTGGTTTTAGAAGTTTTTCTTTTTAGTTTTGATCCGCATAATATTTTTTTAAATTGTTAATATCATAATTTTGTGATAAGGTGACATGTAAGGAATACATGTCATGTCATATCAAAGTGGCATATAATGTGACATGATATATAATGTGCAATGTTTAGATGTATATTCCATCAATGATAATTACAACAGAAACTTTTTTCAAAATATTTGAAATAATAACCCAAATGGCCAAATCAAAGAAAAAATTATAAATATTAAAATCAAAAT